CCTGTATGTGAGAAACATTTCTTGCCAGAGGAAATTCTTTGGCGTCGTACAATTACTGACAAAGACGGAAATATTATCTGTGAAGTAAGTAATATTATTTCTATTTTATTAAATTATTAAATTAAAGCATTAATAAGTCACAAAATATGTCACTCATTTCTATGAGCTTTAACTATGATATTTCTATAAGCTTAACATTCAATAGTTATATTCGTTATATTAATTACATAATATCTGGTAAATGTAATAATGTGTTATAATGTGTTTAGTCTGCTCCGTATAAAATACCTAGACTGCGTAAAGGAGCTGTACCAAGCCAATTTCCTTGGACAGAAGACACAAAAATAAATAACAAGGAAATAAAAGAAACTAAACCTGGAACAACTATAATAGATATTCAAGATGTTGATTTAACTTTAAATATGGAAAGAGAAACTCAAATTTTGTCATTTTATAATGTAATAGATGCTATAGAAAAATATGAAATTAATATGCCAAGGCAATGGACATACACAAAGCATTTAAACAGTGACATAAAATTATTAATATTCTTTTTACCAACATGCAACACAATGAAAAAATATCCAGACAAATATACAGTTTATAGACTAAAAGAAGTTGTCCTCAACGAAAATATGAAGTTAGATATAAATATCCTAAACCAACCACTCATACATATTCCACCAAATAAAAAAATATACCAAAACATTGAAACACTGGAGCAACTAACAGAATCATTATTTTCTGTGGACAGTTTTAAAATATGCTCAGGTGCCATTAATATTAGTAATGAGATAGCAAATTTTCAACATAGTGCAGCTTTCCAAGATATCTATGGTACGTACAGACATGAGAAATGTTTATTGGTGATACCTGAAACCTATGAAACCCCTGAAACATTAAAAATATGTAAATTCTGTACAAATGTTATAAACTCGTTGAAACGAAAACACCGTCGAGCAAAGATGATTAAGAATGTCAAACGAATTAAATTTGCTATGTCAACACATGGCACAGATAGTCAACAGAAATTAATACTACTGCAGAAGAAATATTATAAAGCAGAAAAGGCCCGGAAAAGATCAAAATATGTAGCAGAGAGATTAAAAACTGAATTAATGAATTGTATGGCTAAAGTTGGCGAAGTATATGGAGAAACCATGGAAGAGAAATTAAAGGAAAGCAACATTCCCAAAAATCAAATGTGTGCTATGTTAGAAATAATGAAAGCTGCAAAGTGTGCAAATCCAAAAAGTCGACGATATAATGAAGAATGGATCTTAACGTGCATATTAATGCATATGAAATCACCAAGTGCATATGAATTTTTAAGAAGTAACGAAATACTACCTGTTCCATGCGTTCGAACTATAAGGAGGTAAGAAGAAAATACGTAAAATGATATTTTACAATATAAACATTTATATAAAACTTTGTATCAATAAAGTATGGAACGTTTTCATTGCATAGTATATAGTATAGATAAAAATATTAATGTGTGGAATTGACATATTTTTGCAGATACCTTTCTTTAATAGACACTCCATGTGGTTTTGACAAGAAGTTCTTCGAGATGTTCAAGCTAACATTGGAGAAAAAAGAAGAAAAACAAAAACATGGTGTAATTCTTCTTGATGAAATACATCTTAGAGAAAGCATTAATGTTAACTCCAAGAAGCTTACATACACTGGATTAGTTGATTTTGGGATTGACGGTCTACAAATCTTGTGAGACAAATCTTAGTGAGACAGCAAATCATGGTTTAGTGCTAATGTTTCAATCAATAGCCGATTGTTACTCTCAACCAATTGGAGTGTTTGCCTCTAGAGGACCCGTATTAGGAGAACCTATCGCACAGCTTGTAATTAAAGTATGTTCCATATTTTTAGTGCAATCAGATTTATTTGTATGAAATCAAAATTGTACAAAATTGCACTTGCAAAATTTATTTTTATATTTGTTACATAGGCTATCATAATGTTAGAAAATATTGGTGCTAAAGTTCATGGCATAATTACTGATGGTGCAGCCACAAATCGTAAATTTTGGACCACAGTGGGCGTATGTGGGAAGAAAAATAAATTAAATAATAGTTTTAATCACCCTACAATAAATGGACGTCATGTATACGTTTTTTCCGATACACCACATCTAATTAAAACAATAAGAAATCGATTGTATAGTACAGCATTACAAGTAAGAGTACAAATAAATTCACTATATATTATAGTTTTATGTGCAAAACTAAAATTACATACATGCTAGCATTGTAATATTTAATCTATTTAATGTTAGAAGACTTTTATATATAAAACAGGTGGAAATAAGATATATGTATAATGCTACTGTCTGAAAATAACTTACAATATTATATGTATATCTTATGTTGTCTTATTGTAGCTCAGTCCAAATGATGCTTTAGTAAAATGGGAGTACTTTCATATTTTGCACAATAAGGATAAAACATTACCGTCCGAAATGCGTGTATGTCCAAGAATAACAACAAATCATTTGACACTCACAAACATGGCTAAAATGAGAGTTCGGTTAGCTGCTCAAGTGAGAACATGATACATATTACGCATATTACTATTTCATTCATAGTGCTATATAAATTGACTTTTATTAAGTATTTAATTATAATTCAATGATTGGCATAGGTTTTCAGTAAATCAATGGCTAGTGGATTACGATTTTACAAACATTTCTTGTCTGATCTACAAGATTGCGATAGCACAGCTAACTTTTGTGACTGGATTAATGATTTATTTGACTCATTGAATCAGATTAAATCTTCTGAAGGTGTGACAATTGGAGATAAACATTATAAGGTAAATAAGTCTTGAAAAATTAAACAGTAATTGTTTTTATGTAGGACTTCCGTTTCCGGCAGCGAGCGAGCGACAGTGTGTGTGATTGAGCGAGAGAGTGAAAAGTGGCTAGAGTAGGAAAGAGAGCGTTGGTGGAGGAACGAGGTACGGGTGGACGTGCAGGAGATCGAAGAGAAGGCGGGAGAGAGAAGGGGAGGCGCGAGGGTGAGTAGGAAAGCCACAGAGGTGAGAAGGGAGGATAGCGGGAGATAGGTTAGGCAGGGAGCAGTGACAGGCATAGACTAGCGGGAGTGGTAGAGAGGGAAGTGGTAGAGTCAGGTAGAACGGGCCACGGGCATAGAATAGAGAGGATAGATAGAGGGGGAACATACAGAGGAAAGAAGAAAAGAGGCAAGTTATAGAAGGAAGAGGTTATAGAATAGGAGGAGGTGAAAATGGAGGAGGATAAGAGGGTGGAGGAGGGAAAGAAATCGGAGGAAAATAAAAAGGTAGAGGAGGACAAGGAAACAGAGGAGGATAGGAAT